GGACGAGAGAATCATCGCCGAGGATAAACCAAAAACTGGTATATGCACGAGCTCCAGCATTTGGAGACAAAGTAGCCCTGATAGACAGTAGTGGAAGCCACAGCTACAAGCAACTGTATGCTAGCAGCTTGGGACTTGCGGGAAGAATCAACGCCACACTACACTCTGACTTAGGACGGCAAGAAGGTAAACCAATCTCCTTCCTGTGTGCAAATGATGCTTCCTATACGGTGGCCCAGTGGGCTATTTGGATGAGTGGTGGGACAGCGGTTCCATTATACAGAAAACACCCAGCCTCAGAACTAGAGTACATCGTCACAGACTCCCATAGCACACTGCTGGTGGCGGGGCACCCCTATGCTGAAATCCTGGAGCCCTTGGCACAGAAACTGGGTCTGCCTTGCCTAACTCTTCCCCCCACTTCCATACTCGGCACTTTAAACAATAGTAACAGTCAAGACATGGAGGAGGCCAGCACGGACTGGAAAGAGCGACCAGCCATGATCATCTACACGAGCGGTACGACTGGGAGGCCCAAGGGTGTTCTTCATACGCACAGCAGCATCCAAGCCATGGTAAATCATTTCTTTTTGTCACTTTCGGTATTCTAATTTAAGTTTGTCCTTGGTATTAAATGGCGGTGTCTATCTCATTTACTGTAGTAAATCTTTTCCATCACGGACGGCCGCTGCATTTGATTCTTGCTCTTTGCTTCCGATGGACATCCAATGATGATCCCATTTCCAAAATGGCTGCCCTTTCCAAAATGGCTGCCCTTTCTGGTAATTCAATGCAGGAGACTGTGAGACGCACATTAGCTTCATGTTAATGAGCGTTTATGTTCAAGTAGGTATAAGGCCTTGGTAACTCTTTAAGAAGCACATCACAGTGTTTCTAAACCTTTATTGAGCCAAGGCTGATATTTTACATTCGAAAAAAACAAGATATGCATATACTGTACTGTATGTATTTTCTGTCATCTAGTGGAAGAGCATTTAACCGTTCAGCCCGTCACTATACATCAGTGGCACAGATCGACACTTTATTTTTATAAATTAATCATTTTATTTTCAAACGAAATTCGATCATTTAACTCATCCATCTCACACTTCAGAGGTTGTGGGTTCTAATCCGAGCTCCAGCATTTCTGCTTGGTGTTTGGATGTTCTCTCCATGCCTGCGTGGGTGATTTAGTTTTCTCCAACATTCCAAAAACATGCACGGTAGCTTAAATGAAGACGTGTGTCGGCGTGAATGTGAGTGTAGATGCCCGTTTGTCCTGCGGTTGGCTGGCAACTAGCTCGGGGTGTACACCGCCTCTCACCCGAGTTCAGCCGGGGCAATGGATAAGTGGGTCAGAAAATAGATGGAGCGATGGATGGATAATTTCTCGCGCACACCGGTGGGGAATCACTGCCGTATTGAACCACTGCAGATCATTCTCTCAAATAGGACAATGAAAATCTCATCACGCCCTGATGTCTTTCAATCCATATTCATATGACTAGCAAAAATAAAAGTGTGCAGCACCACTATTTGAAGCCATTGGGCTTTTCAGATAATTAACTAGTGACTATTTTTATGCAAGTATTTAAGAAAAAAATGATAGCCCTCAAATAGTCATTTTTAATTTTGAGCCTTTCTACAGGATGTGTCAGGCATGAAGGAGAGTTCCACTTCATTACGCCATTAATTCAAAACATGTTTTTAAATTCAAGAACTGTGTAGACATCTTCACATCACCTCCAACACACACACGCTCGCTCTTTGATTAGCATAATTCCTCTTTTGTTCCAGTCTAGCTTTCTTAATTAGCTCTAATTTATGCCATTAAAGATCTCACAAAGATTTGGCTGTATACATTTTCAAGTCAAATTGACCCACTTGTCCATTAGCGTGGAAAATCAAATCATTCCGAATGATGTCATTTGTCTCCGCTCGATCTGTGATGAGTTTTTTTTTTTTTCCTTGGAACGCAACAAATTCAAGCTATTAAAGTTCCTAGAAAAGTTCATGTTTTAAATTAAGGATGATATCGTAATTGTCAGTAGACTTTTTTTTTTTGTGGTGCAGCCGAACATATCTGAGCAAATGAAAGAAAAGGGCTTCACTTACGAGATCTTATGGGAAGTAAAACTGGTTCCTCGTAAAAACACTTGCACACTTTGTACAAAATTTCAGAGTGGGGAATTGGTGAGGTCTGACGTCGGATGAGAGAATCACGTGACATTTACATACTGATTGCCGAATTAATTGATGGAGTGGTGCAGTAAGTGTTGGGGGGGGACCCCTGACTTTTCCATATTAATACATCCGTGTGTCTTCCATTTTCCTTCGCACATCTCTCCGCCTGAGTTGAAGCACTCACACACTCACCTTCGCTACAGTAAAGTGTTTGCTAATTTCCAAACCGTATTCGTTGGGGTGCACATTCCCTGTTTTTGTTTTTCTTGGTTTTTTTTTTTGTTTTTGTTTTTTTGCGACACTGAGCAACGAACAGCATTTGCCAATTCGGCAGAGTTGCTCGTTCACCACCACTGGTGGGCATTGTTCAGATGAGAATGCCCAACAAGACAAAACAATGATTCACCATCTAATCCGAACAACATCGACCTGATTATATTAACGGCAGGCGGTATTATTTCTCTGCCCCCCTCGTGTCATGCTAATCATGCTAATTATGTTTATCAGCCGCGTCAGGATTCAAAACAAGGATGAACAGCATGTTTTGATGCTGCTGTTATGTATGATCTATTCCATCTGGAAGGAAGTCTGCCATTTGACCAATCATCCTCATTGTGGGCCTTCTCAGGTCCAATGTCTGGTCTCCGAGTGGGCGTGGTCCCAGGATGACGTCATACTCCACACGCTGCCGCTCCACCATGTCCACGGCATCGTCAACAAGCTGCTCTGTCCTCTCTGGGTTGGCGCCACTTGCGTCATGCTGCCTGAATTCCATCCTCAAAAGGTTGAGACAGCGCTTGCTTACTCACAACTTTGTTTTTTTTTTTTTTTTTTTCAGGGGCGGCAAAAGTAGTCATAGATATTAGCTAAAAACAAAAAACAAACAAAAGACTGTCAAAAGCAGGTGTCCTGATTGAACTTCTTTGCTTAAGTAATCATACAAAAATTTTTGTACTTTGTTAGTTACCACCGCTGCTGTCTTGGTATTCTCACCAGGCCTGAGTGCTTCAACTCTCACCACATATTTTCCTTTTTTTTTTAGGTTTATGTGGTTATCAGTGTCTCTCGTTCTCCGTTGGACTTTTCTTCCTCACCTCTCTTCATGTCCTCTTCCTCTCTTCTCTGTCAGTCCCCTCCTCTCATCCCTCTCTCGTTGTCCGACTAAGTGTTTTGGGCCCGGTGATTAATTGCCCTGTGTGGCTTTTGTATCTGACCAGTGGCGACTCACGGTAAGAGCTTAAGCAGCGGATCAATCGATGAGCTGACATTGAAGAATGATGCTGCTCGTTTGGCCCTGAGACGGGGGGGGTTGCGAGGTGTGTGGGTGTGTGTCTTTGGGAATACAAAAGGAGTGACGATTGGACTGTTTTCCAACATATAGCACTCGACGTTTCAGAGGACCTCAAGAGCTTTTAATGGCTGTGAGCATAGATGGGAGGCGAAGACCCATGAAGGACACTCGGATCTGTCAGAAAGCCATTGCGACACTCTCGTCGCCATCAGTATTCGACTGTTATCCCTGACCTTGTGAAGCGGACCACAAAGCCCATTCCCGGGGAAAGAAAAAAAAAAAGAAAAGAAAAAAGGCTTCATTGTCCTTCTCCTCAAGTTGGAGTTGCTTGATGAAATGCTCAAGAGTCGCTTTGTTTTATCCCTCAAGTTCTCTGAAGGGTAAACCAGGCGGTACTTTTTCAAAGATACTCGTACAGTCCTCGAGAGGTACAAAATGTTCCTGCCGTCGACACCGCGCTGCAGAGAGGGCAGACTGTTTTTAACTGAATGTCTTGCTCCAAATTGGCTATTAGGAATATTGGTGTTACGTCTCTGGCTCTTTTCGGGATATTTCCGAGCAGAAAGTGATTTACTGACGCATTGACATTTTAACAGTTTTAACGCTACACAATTACCAAATGGGAGGAATAACGAGAATATGGCCGCAATCATTGAGTGCTTCCATTGTCACCAAATCTACTGACTGCTTAATTTAATCTTCATAATCAATTTATAGATGGAGCCGTAAAATGTTAGAACATATTGGAAAAGTGTCCATCATCATTTCAGACCAATCCAAGGTTAATTCTGCCAATTGTCTTTTTGGTGGAAAGCCAAATTTGATTTGTTTTGAATACATTGAAAGCAACGGCGGCATGTTAGCACGTCCGCCTTGCAGTACAAAGGTGCGGGGTTTGATTCCGGGTCCGGGCCTTCCTGTGTGGAATTGGCGAGTTCTCCCCGCGCCTGCGTGGGTTTTTTCCGGGTACTCCGGTTTCCTCCCACATTCCCAAAAACATGCATTCCAGGTTAATGGAACACTCCAAATTGTCCCCAGGTGTGATTGTGAGCGTGAATGGTTGCTTGTCTATGCGTGCCCTGCGATTGGCTGGCGACAGGTTCAGGTTGTCCCCCGCCTACTGCCCGAAGACAGCTGGGATAGGCTCCGGCTACCCCCGCGACCCTTGTGAGCATAAACGGTATTATGTGTTATTTGTTTTACTTCAACATGACTGGCATGGACGCAACAGTTACTTCACTTTTGTTGTTGTTTCTCCAAATCCTTCTTGCATAGCTACCAACTACCGGGATTTGACATAATTTAACATGCTTGACGCATACGCATATTGGTCTTATGGCCATACAGGGTAAATTGAATGGAGGATATTTGACTGTAAAACGACTATAGTTGGTCCCAGTGGAAACAGACGAAAATATCCACTTGGCAAACATGTGAGCCAGCGTCCACTGACAGCTTTCAATGCATCTCGGATGCTTACGGAGTCATTTTATGCGAAAAGCCGGCATTTGTATTTCATTCCTACCTTGAGCGCCTGTCCCCGGCAGCTCAGCGAGGTGCTCAGCATGCAACCCGTGCATTTCGCTTCCCGCTGCATCCTTGTCCCTGAGGTGGAGGCCAGTTCTTTGACGGACATAAATTGCCTTCCTCTCCCGTTCCGAGTGGACTTGGCGGAAGCGCTCGACTGGACTTGACGGACAGCCGCCCGCAGTGGTCAAGTCAGAGCCGGTTAATAATTCGCCAGTCACTATCTACCGGAAGCAGGCACACCCTCCTGTTTAGAGGAGCTTGTAATATGACCGTTACAAGAAAGCAAATGTGAGAGATGATCAAAAATATAGAGGGACTGATTAGAATGTTGTTATCAAGTCTCAATTGTGTCATCTTCACTTTATGATTTGTGAAAATTGGGTCCAACACACACAAATTTACTTTTTTTTTTTTGTGATTGTAGCCTACAACGTTGTAGGTAGATCGTAGTGCAATTTTATACTAGTGTACTCTATTTTATGACCACAGGAAATGAGCTTATGACTGCATTTTCATCCGCAAATACGTTTGCTCCTATTTGATCGCACAGCTTTCGTCACGTTTAAGTCCAGTGAGTGAAAAACGGCTCGGTGAAATTGGACGGCTCGGTGCAAAGGTGTGATGCTATTGACGTGATGCACGTGCGTGTGTTTCGGTGAGTGGCCGAGCGGTTTGCGATGACGGTGAGCAGAGATGGGGGAAGATGAAGGGGGAGGAGGTACAGAAGAATAAGTGTAGTACTTCGGTCAATTGAAGTCGAATTAATCGAGACGAAGTGAGGATAAGTTGACAGGGAGACACTTGGGGAGGAGCATTTGTCTCCTCAGGAGAGGTAGAGGAGACGGACTTAAAGAAGATGCCGCTCACCTGCCGTCTCGTCGGCTCTGATGCGACGCATGGAGCGAGCTAAAAGGAGCCGGGTGGATCCTGGATCCTTTCCATTGTTTTGTCCTTGATGAGTGTGATTTGAAGAACACTTATCGACTCTTTTACTCCAGCCCCCCGTTTCCGATCACAAATGTGTGTTTGCAGAATGAACAAGGGCATGCATTGCCTCTCCTATGGAGCCGAAAAGCAACATTTGTCAAAAGGGAGCCGCATCGGAAAGGCCCTGCGACTGGCCAGCGTGTCAGTTGTGCCCCGCAGCAGTCGGCTGTTTTCCTCTCTCTGACCTTTTCAAACGCCGCCTTTCCCTTTTTTTCCGCCTTGACAGCTTCAGTATGAGGCCACTTTCCTCCGCCGCAGCCTCCCATTTGCATCAAATAAACGACACAAAAAAGGCATTTTTATTTTTTAATGGCATGCAAATGTGGATGTAACCGTTTATACAGTATTTGTATTGGTCCTGTCCATCAGGGTCCTTATCGCCGCCATCCTTCTGCCCTCTTCAGGCAGAAGCCAAGTTCATCTCCCTGCTTCCCCCACCCCCTCCCTTTCTTCCCAGGTATGGGAGATGCTGCTGAGCTCCAAAGCTCCTCGGGTGACTGTTTTTATGGCCGTGCCAACCATCTACTCCAAACTAATCCAGTATTATGACCAGCACTTTACTCAGCCGCATGTCAAGGACTTTGTCAAAGCGGTGTGCAAAGAGAGAATCAGGTAATGGGCTTTGACATCAACAACAGTGCATATAGATTGGGTACTACTGCGTGGGTAGTTTGCAGTTGACCCTGCTTTACAGTGAAATAAGCGAACCAAAACACTGTCATGATGATACAATGCACTTCAACAGAGCATTATCTTTTTTTTTTTTTAAATACAGCCCTTGTATTGTTTTTAAATAGAGGATGTATCTAACTAAAGTTGTGGCTTGTGAGCTCTGGTTTTAAGGGACAATATATATAGTCTGATTTCATGCTTTAATTCCATGCTTTGAAGATCACTCGCAGTCCGGCATCTGAATATCAGGTGAGTGTGACAGTTTGAAACGCTGCCTGTCTCGCTTCAGGCTGATGGTTTCCGGCTCTGCCGCTCTCCCGCTGCCCACTCTGCAGCGCTGGGAGGACATCACGGGGCACACGCTGCTGGAACGCTACGGCATGACCGAGATCGGGATGGCACTCTCCAACCCTCTGAAAGGCCGCCGCATTCCAGGTCAGGGCTTTAGACGGACTTTTTTTCTACTCGCAATTCTTTTTTTTTTTGTAATCGCAATCCCACAAAAGTGTTCTCAAAAGTACTGTATTGGTGCTTAAAAATGAGCCGTGTCAAGAGTGTTGGTTCAGACTTTTGAACATATCGAGCCATCGCTTAACTTTAAAGAAGCTGTCTGTTGTTGCTATCATCTTTTTATCTGCAGCTAATTCCGCTCCATACCTCATAAGAAATATTTGGTACGGGTGGATCCTGGATCCTTTCCATTGTTTTGTCCTTGATGAGTGTGATTTGAAGAACACTTATCGACTCTTTTACTCCAGCCCCCCGTTTCCGATCACAAATGTGTGTTTGCAGAATGAACAAGGGCATGCATTGCCTCTCCTATGGAGCCGAAAAGCAACATTTGTCAAAAGGGAGCCGCATCGGAAAGGCCCTGCGACTGGCCAGCGTGTCAGTTGTGCCCCGCAGCAGTCGGCTGTTTTCCTCTCTCTGACCTTTTCAAACGCCGCCTTTCCCTTTTTTTCCGCCTTGACAGCTTCAGTATGAGGCCACTTTCCTCCGCCGCAGCCTCCCATTTGCATCAAATAAACGACACAAAAAAGGCATTTTTATTTTTTAATGGCATGCAAATGTGGATGTAACCGTTTATACAGTATTTGTATTGGTCCTGTCCATCAGGGTCCTTATCGCCGCCATCCTTCTGCCCTCTTCAGGCAGAAGCCAAGTTCATCTCCCTGCTTCCCCCACCCCCTCCCTTTCTTCCCAGGTATGGGAGATGCTCCTGAGCTCCAAAGCTCCTCGGGTGACTGTTTTTATGGCCGTGCCAACCATCTACTCCAAACTAATCCAGTATTATGACCAGCACTTTACTCAGCCGCATGTCAAGGACTTTGTCAAAGCGGTGTGCAAAGAGAGAATCAGGTAATGGGCTTTGACATCAACAACAGTGCATATAGATTGGGTACTACTGCGTGGGTAGTTTGCAGTTGACCCTGCTTTACAGTGAAATAAGCGAACCAAAACACTGTCATGATGATACAATGCACTTCAACAGAGCATTATCTTTTTTTTTTTTTAAATACAGCCCTTGTATTGTTTTTAAATAGAGGATGTATCTAACTAAAGTTGTGGCTTGTGAGCTCTGGTTTTAAGGGACAATATATATAGTCTGATTTCATGCTTTAATTCCATGCTTTGAAGATCACTCGCAGTCCGGCATCTGAATATCAGGTGAGTGTGACAGTTTGAAACGCTGCCTGTCTCGCTTCAGGCTGATGGTTTCCGGCTCTGCCGCTCTCCCGCTGCCCACTCTGCAGCGCTGGGAGGACATCACGGGGCACACGCTGCTGGAACGCTACGGCATGACCGAGATCGGGATGGCACTCTCCAACCCTCTGAAAGGCCGCCGCATTCCAGGTCAGGGCTTTAGACGGACTTTTTTTCCACTCACAATTCTTTTTTTTTTTGTAATCGCAATCCCACAAAAGTGTTCTCAAAAGTACTGTATTGGTGCTTAAAAATGAGCCGTGTCAAGAGTGTTGGTTCAGACTTTTGAACATATCGAGCCATCGCTTAACTTTAAAGAAGCTGTCTGTTGTTGCTATCATCTTTTTATCTGCAGCTAATTCCGCTCCATACCTCATAAGAAATATTTGGTACAAAGGTAGAGACTAGAGACACTAATACCACCCCCACCCTTGAAAGGCTGGTTGCAATGGTGTACCATTGAGAATTAGGTTGCCTGGGCACCCAAATTGGTGTCGATCGAGTAGGTCACCTTGATGTGTCCAAAACAACAAACAGAAGGTTCACATTAAAAAGATAATAATAATAAATAATCATAATAATAATAAAATTGACTGGTACGCTATGTTGAAAAAATATGTTCCATCGAGATGTTGCTCGGCTCTTTTCCTGTCATTGTGGTCAAGGTAAATATTTTTGGTTCGGGAATATGTGTGGGGAGTATTGTTTTAAATTCTCGGCAATTCCACGGAATAAAAGCAGGACAACATTTTTTTTTTTTAGTCTTTATAAGGATGGTGCACGGTCTTATTCATAATGGGTACATGAACTGCTGTCATTGTGGCGCTTATACTCTGCAGCAAGTCGAAGTGGAGAAGTGGAACCCTTCACACGTTTTCATGTGACGTGTTTGATCCACAGTCGGGTAAAATTTCATGATCCCACGTTGATATTTCCCTCAAACATACACAATAAAAGCAAAGTCTTGAAATGAGGTCAGATCAGAAACCCCCCCGCCCCCACCACCATCCCCTCTCCTTTCTCTTCTTCTTCAACATCTCTTCCTCTCCTGCCTCCACCTTGTCCTCTCCTTTTTCATCCCGCCATTCCCTGGCCACCTTTCCCGCTGACAGGTAAACCTAATTAGCCTTGCAGGTTGTCTGGTGTCTTTATGGAGGGGGTGGGGGGGGGGGTTGCTTTTGTTTGTCGGTCGTGCGTTGTTTGGCATCCACCGAACAGCCCGTGTTTGATTCCTCTCAGGTGATTATTAGGAGGAGTTTTAAGAGACGTGCGCTTTGCTGTCGACGCTTCGGCGGTCGATGCTGCACAGTCACAGGAGCGTACGCAGGTGTGCGTCTAAACAGGCATGGATTGGTGCATGTTGGAGTGGGGCTGTTACTTTTTTGTCTTGAAGTACAAAGTAGGTTAAAGTAGATCAATAGCAACCTGAATAAGCGGATGGGGGGGGGCGGACATTCTCTGTGGTTGTATATTTTCACACAGCTTTTCCTTTTCTTTTTCGTCCCCTGAAAACAAAACAGACACATTTTATTGACAGAAGGTTTTTTTTTTTGTTTTTTTGTTTTTTTTTTTTAAATACACTTTCCTGAATGTGGGGCATCTATTTGTCTGGCCTATTTATGTTGCGCATCTTACAGTTTCAGAGCATTCTAGATCAACAGCAGTACATGATTCTAGGTCATACTGCCCTTGCAAAGATGTAAATAAGGGAGATGCTTTGCATCTCATGAAAATATGGATGCGCCAATGTCTCACCTGTATTTCCCGATTGGTAAATGTTCATCTTGTGGCCACATCTCTTTCAAGGATGAATGTTTTTGCTTGATGTGAGATAAGAAAGCAGTCATCTGCTTTGTCATACATAGGCATGTTTGTGAAGTGTCCAATGTCGGCTTGCTCCAGTCCCCCACAACATAAACAACAATTATTGTTTGTGCTGCGTAAAATAATCACTTTGTTCATCTTCTCTAATTGTACCTTTTCTTCACTGCTATTGTGACCAGTGAAGGGCTGTTACTTCCATGCCTCAATTC